CAATGTGGGTTTTCTTAGGGAAAGTGCCAGGACAAAGCACAAAACAAAAAAACAAAACACCTACTCGGATACGGAGCTTGAATGCCCAGACCTGTGCCTAGAAACATGGCACAAAAGGATGTCTGGATGAGTACCAGTTGCTGGACAGCAACGGTGAGAGAGGGCTGTTGCCTTCAAAACCTGCCTGTAGGCTTCTCAAAGGCATCTAGTTGGCTACTCTGCAAAGCAGGATGCCGGATCTTTGGTGTGATCCAGCAGGCCTTTTATGTTTTGAAAGCAGAACTCTAGCATCAATAAGGGAACAATTTGTAATCATGTTCCCCCCTTGCCATTTTCTGCTAAAAAGAATCACTCCTAAATGCATTTTGACTGTTGGTGTGAAATTGTGTGCAAAATATGTGTACATAATGATCATGCAGATAAATTTTCAAGAGGACTCTTTTGTGTTAATGGTGTACTAATGTGGAGAACTAAACTTAAAATTGGGAAACTGAGGGAAATGGTAATGGACAGATTCGTTCATGCCTTCTCTTCCCCACACAAAAATGTGGGAGAATGGATGACAAGCAGGCAGAATCTCCTGCCGCTGCCCTGTTGCTTGCCACCAGAGGCAGATTTAGGGCTGTGTGGGCGGTGTGCATGCACTAGGCACTGAGCTTAAGCCCGGTGTGTGAGGTGCTGGGCTTTGGGAAAGAAGCAGGAGACTCCTAAAGGGCCCTAGAGCCCCCAAACCTCCTTCTCAAAGTCAGACACCTCCTTATCTGCCTTTGGGAAGGCAGCGCGAAGGCAGTGCACCAAATGTTGGCCTTGCACAGGGACCATAGTAGCCAGGTCTGACACAATTGCCAGAATGTTGCTGTTGTTACTGCTGCCAAAATGTGGGGTGACCAGATGGGCATGCCACTGCTACCATCACCATGCTCTTCCTCTGCCACCACTGCACAACACTACTTCCTGCTCACCTGCCAAGCCAATTGGGAGAACTGGAGGAGGTGGGTCAAATGACAAGGAAAGGTGCAAGTTGGCACAGGATGGTGCCCTTCTACCTTCTTTCCACTTCCACTCTTCCTGTCCAGCTCCCTCAGCAGTAGTGACAGCAGTGGGTGGCCTGGAAATTGGGCCATTGGCCCAGAGACCTGAAGATTGGATATTGGTGCATCCAAACCTACAGTCGAAATTCTGGCAACCTTATAGGAAGCATTAGAACATTTTAAACATATATGTCTTAAGACTGGGCCCAAGATTATATAAAAGCTTCCAGACTGAAGCAAGACTATCAATTGCTAAAGATGCTAATAAAAGACATCTGCCTTCTTTTCCTCCAGGTGTTTGACCCCAATAGGTTCTCATCCGAAAAGTCATCTCAGAGGCATTCTCATGCTTTTGTGCCTTTTGCAGCTGGACCAAGGTGAGGATATAGACTGTTCAGTGTCACGGTCTGATTTACTCTTGGCTTAATTAGGCAGCAAGCAGATACTTACGGGGTTTCAAACAGTTTATGATATACGGTAATTGCTCTCCGAGCCATTCACAGTGACTGACTGTCATTAACACATTGAGGTATCTGAACTATGTCCTCGCTTCCAACAGCATATCCTCCAGGAGCCCCCTCCCTCCCTTCTCTTTGATTGACGCCTCTCTTTAACCCTCATGAACCTAATGAGCGTGAGCAGATTCATACTGATATACTGCCCCTTCCTCTGATGTATTTTCCTCCTTCTCAGTTGCTACCTGATACTCCTTATCAGTGCCTGGGCTTTCTGCCAGCCCTCGCTCACTGTCATGAGAAACTGTCTCTTCCTCTCTGACATGAGAAGCCAAGGAGGATTGAGGGGGGCTGGATTCAAACTGCTGTGGAAGAATGAGAGGTTCCTTGCTGCCTCTCTGAAGATCCCTGTCTCTGCAGATCTCCTCTTCTTCCTCACCATTGTCGCTCTGGGGTGCCATGTCTCTGACATTCAGGCCAGATGAGTGAGAGGTTGCTGATGAGCAATAGGGAGGAGAGAAAGAAGCTTGTCTATGGAGTCTGGTGGAGAATCTGTTGCTGGGCTAGAAGTTCCATTGCCCTGACCACTGGTCATACTGCTTGAAGGAAGCTGGAGTCTAACAACATCTGTAGGGCCACAGGTTCCCCACCAATGACCTAGAACATATTTGCAGGTGGCTACAAAAAGATTACATTAATTGTCACATTTGAGTGATGTATTGCTACAGGAAGTAAAAAAAAAAAAAAGCAGGGGCTTGGAAAGGGGCATGTATTTCTGTCCCACCCCTTCTGCTGGCTGGAGGCAATGTCCTCAAGAGGCCTGACTTGCTTTTTGGGAGAAACCAAAGCTATGATAATGGAGAGCCTATTGGGTTGTGGGTTGTGAGTGCTTTGAACCTTCCGCTACTGTAAAAAACAAAACAAAATAACACCTCACATTGCAGAAGTGCCATAAGTATCCTGTGACCTTCATTCCAAGGAAACCAATCCTGGAGCACATTCAGGAACCCCTGAAACCTTTCAACACACTCAGGGATTGGGGGAAGCATTCCAGCATGCATCAAGGTCCAAGGCTCCGAGAGGATTTGGGTTTCCTTGTTAATGGTTGGGAACCTATCCAGGCTGAAAGTTGGAATGAAAGTATTTTGACAGGCAGAGTCAGCATTTTCAGGTAAAGCTCCTGCATTATGATTAACTGCTTCTTAATAGATTTTCCTGACTTTCTCTCTTTCCTCAGGAATTGTATTGGGCAGCAGTTTGCCATGAACGAGATGAAAGTGGCCCTTGCCCAAATCCTACTCCGGTTTGAAATCTTGCCAGATCCAGCAAAGCCTCCTGTTCCAATCCCCAGGTTGTCTTAAAATCTCAAAATGGGATACACCTGTTGCTAAAGAAACTCAGCTGATAGCATATACAATTGTAGGGTTGGACAGGTCATCTAATCTAACCCTCTGCAATGCAGTAATTAATAAAATGACATATTTAAAGGCAAGCTGTGAATCATTTGAAACTTCTCTCAAAGAAGTGGGGGGGTGTCTGATGGAGCATATTAGGAGAGTTAATGAAATAAACGCTCAGTTACGAAGAAGGAGCCCTGGGGTCAGCCATGCCTCCATCCTCTGTCTCCAAAAACCCTTCACCAGGACTACCTCCCAGTTCAAGAGGGCACCACTGCTACTGTGCCACTTCCAGGGGCATCAGACAGGTTCCCTGCCCCTCCAGAGTGTCTTCAGAACAGAGCTTTGACCCACCTAGACAGGAGTGGGTGGCATGGCAGTACTGGGCTTTGTTGGGAAGAAGGGCGGGATATAAATTCAAAAAAATAAATGGAATAAATAAATGCAGTGGAGCTGGCCTGCTGGCTGACACTCACAGATCATATCTAGTTTGGATCTTAGTCAACAAAGTAACTGGCCATGCCTGAATACAGGAACACTGAGATATTGTAGCTAAACATGCTGAGTAAGGCTTAATGATTATCCTAATCACTTCCATTACTCCAGAGCTATTTCAAACATGCCAGAAGGACACATGGCACATGCCTCATCTATTTGTGCCAAGGAGTGGTCAGCAAAGCAGGGCAGTGCCACAAAGCCACCCTCACAACATATGTGCTGCTACTTATGGGGCAGGGTTATGGCAAGGTTGCGAGTGTGCATTGTGGTGGGAGCAACAGATTAGCTCTGCCAATGTGGCTGCACAGTGCCAACCATGGTGCCTTTCTGCCCTGCCCAGGCACCATTCCAGTAAACATGCTATTTTTCTGGAAAAAGAGGTGCCAGAACTCACCATGAACACCTCCCTTGTTTGCTTATAATGGCAATGGCACCCGCAAGAGAAGTGCTGGAACAGAGTTCTGGTGAGTTCCAGCTGAAAAAAAGCCCTGCCACTAAGTGGCAGCAATACCAGCGTTGAGATTGGCAGCCCCATGGCATTGCTCTGTTCTATCAGCTGCTCCTGCAAATTTTGTAAAATATGCAGTGATTTATGCAAAATGAACCATGGAAAGAGAAGGGAAGTCACTGATATCTTAAGGATGTAAAACGAGTATCTTAAATTGCAAAACAGAAAACCTAATAGAAATTATACACAGAATGGTAAAAAGAAAAAGAAAGAAAGGGAATGAAAAGTAAAAAACCCACATGGAGGCTATGCCAGCAATGATAGCTCCACCCTGCCATTCTCGCCTCCAGCTAAATTCTTTTCATTCAGGTAATTTACCTCTGCATGCATACTTTATTCATCATTGCCAAAAACAGCAGGCAACTGGATTTACCCCTGCAAACATGCCGTGACAAATACGTCTCAAGTTGTTCAATCAACAAAGAAGCAAAGCACTCTATGGACATAAAGTTTTCCAGTTTCATAGCGATTGCCCTACACTTTATTCACAACTGAATGGTGGCTTGTAACACAACATTCAGTCAATTTTCAGTTCCTTATTGAGAAACGCAGTTTTACAAAGAGACCCCCAACATCTCACTAGGTAAGTCAGAGAATCCCTTACCATGTGGACATGGCCATATAGTCAGTGGCTGGGGAGTCCTGGGAAACTCCTAAAACCCTTGATCAGTTTCTGCCTTGTCTGAAATAGCTGGATGGCTTTCAGAGCGATGCAGGTGAAGATCAACGCCACAGTCCAATAGAAAAACCTGAGAGGGACCTCGCTGGTAGCCAGGACCATAAGGCATTGATTACAATTTCCATTGCCAGCTGCTTGCTTTGCTCCAGCATCTAGAATAAGTCCTGAAAACTTTCTGGCTTGCTTGGCTTTGTTCTGTGTGCTGTGTGAAAATATCAGATCAAATCCAGGTACTGCAGGAATCTGAGAACTGCTTAAACCTCCACCCACACACTCTAATTAGTTCCACCTGCTGGGTGCTGAATCTTCCCCTTTCCCCCACTTCAGAGCTGGATCCAGATCACTGTTACTGGGAAATGTTTTAATTAACTGCATGCATCCCATCAGAAACTGAAGTCTTTATCCCAGTAGCCTCAAATTCCCCAATAGGGATAGGGGACATATTTGATTCACTTTCCATTTAAATAAAAAATGACAAAATTCACAGCCTCTGAAACAATACAAGAACCGAAACAGACATACTTTGAAATTTGCCCTTTTCCAAATTTTACTGTGTAATTCTTCAGAATACACTGAGGCAAAGTGTGCATAAAAAAAATGCATGTATTAGTGAATATAGCATACAACAATATATTTTATTTACGGACATTGCTTTGCAAAAATGTGCATATTAGGCAAAATTGCATACTTTTGTATCCTAGGAAAAATGACACTAAAATGATGGATTTTCATGAGGACAGAGTGCCAAGCTTCAACATTCTTCCACCTTGGGTCCAGAGATGATGTTTGCCCACAACTGTTGATGTGAGATCAGCAACAAGGAGAAAGTCCAAAAGATCAGACTTCCCCCCGTACAATCCTTGGAACACAATAGTTATGACCTATATATTATAAAGCTGACTAATGCATACTTTGTTTTACTAAAAACAAACAAACCCCAAAGTATTCCTAGGTCTATAATATAAAACATATAAAAATTAAAATCCAGCCATATTAAGCCTTGATTTCAGTGTTTATATTGTAAATAACCAAAGCTCTGTAGTGGGCATGTTCAATAAGCACAGGAGAGTTTGCCATAAAATCACAGAAAGATAGCAAATAATTCATGACAACTAAATACCCATTATCCCAAAACCCCATCTGCCGGGGCAAATACTCATCTGGAGCTCATTGTCATTAGCTCATCCTACTCTCGAGTAGGACCCTGGTAGAGACACATGCCTGGCTGGCATGTTCTCTCCCTCCTGGTCAATCGTTCGGGAGCTTCAAAAGCTTTCTTCTGCCCTAACATCACAGCGACTGATGCCAACAGACACCAGCACACTCAGGGATCCACAGAGTTTGTGCAGTCCGCGTAACAGAACTCAGTAGCTCAGCATTTGGATAAGCTACGTCTATTTATATATAAACACATATGGAGCATTCTGACTTAGCTCCTTCCTCTTTCTCATCAGATAGCAAAGAGAAAAAACAATGGACAATCGTAACACAAACATCCTGTCTCCGTCACTTCCCACACTGTGGAGTCAAAACATACACCGTTATGTGATAGACAACAACCCCATGACTGCAATCATGGAGCAGGAATTCTAACAATTAACAGGGTCATATATAGGTTGGTCTCACATCAGCTGTTCTGTGGGAAGGGTCCTGAACACTTTTTAATATGTCACAACTATCTGCTGTGTTTTTAAAATATGTAATTTACCTGTAAACCTTCTTAGAAAAATATTTATTGGCAGGAATTGAGAGTCCAGAAGCAAGCATTACTACTCTGGTAACAGCAGCCATCAGTGGAGAGCCTTCAGCTTCAGATATATCCCATTTATGGATCGGGTGACAATTTGCGGCATGGGAATCGGGAGGTTGGCAGGATCAGGAAAAAGCTCAAAGTGCAGGAGTGTCAATGCAAGAGCAACCTTCATCTCATTCATGGCAAACTGCTGTCCAATGCAGTTCCTGAGTAGAATAAAGGGCAACATTACATTACAAACAGAAGAGCATTCTGCACATGGTCAAATCAGGGCCTTTTCGGTTGTTGCTCCTTCACGTTTAGATTTCCCTTCCCAGAAATGAATGTCTGGCACCATCTTTGTTCTCCTTTGTATGCCCTACCCTTTTAAGCTTTTGAGTATATATTGTTTTATGCTGGCAGCTAATTCTGCCTTGCTGTGGACTCATTCACAATTTTATAAGCCTTGAACACAGTTGTGTCTTTCATGGAAGATTAATGTAAAAGTCTCCTTTTATGGAGGAAACAGTGCAAAATATAGGTGAGAAAATATTTACCTTGGCCCTGCAGCAAAAGGCAAGAAAGCATATGGGTGGCGATGCTTGAATTCTCTGTGGAGAATCTTAGAGGATTAAACTCCTACAACAGAAAATAAGTCATGGAATTTTGGATTAGAATGGCAACTGATATAGTGGCAAAAGAGCTAAAGGAAAAAGGGGCATTCACAAAAAAGAATACTGTTCTATACCCACTTACCAGGTCATAATGCCCATTGAGCTCCATGGGGCTTAGTTCTGTATAGGATTATAGGACTGCACTCTTAGCAACATGTTTTCCCCAATGTAATATGAAGGAAAATTCCTTCACATCTATAAATGCCTGGTCCAAATGAGACATGATGTTAATTGCATCAGTGTGCATGTTTTTAAAACTGTACACAGCCATTGGAGTGTATGACCAGCAACAGGCCTGCAGGGCTTGGGAGGGAAATGCTAACCTTTCCCCCCTGCCAGGATGCTGATGTTGCTCCTGAAGTTGCTCTTTGAATGGAGAGGGAAGCCTACACAGATTTTGTAAGCAGCACTTTAGGGACTGGTGGGTGGGTGGATTTTTGGCTGAATACTTCCATAGCTCCTGATGTGGATTAGGAATGGTTTCTGGATTAGGATTCCACAGCAGCTTTGCCAATATATTTTTGCAATGGTTTTCTTTTCGCAATAGATTTTTGCCATTTTGTAAGTGCGTAAGCAACATTTTAAGAATCATAACTACATAACATGTGGCCTGTCCTTCTACTTAATTAGTACAGTATCTTCCTCATACCGTTCTTATCCAATTCTGTAGAGGGACACACTAAACTTGACATCAGAGTGTTAGAAGATATATCCAAACATTTTTCTTTTTACTAACAGCTGCTGGCAGGAAAGGGATTTGGATCAGAGTCATGGCATAGGGAGGAATTTAGCTCTACATGCAGACACACGCACAGAAACACACAGAGAGACACACACGTTTTCACCAGCATCTCTCTCTCATGCACACACTCTAGAGCTGGTAGTATCTACATAGGAAAATGCAGGCATCACTTGTGTTTATATTTTTCTGCTCCACATTTAATATTATATCAGGGGGTAGATAGTTTGGCATTAGGCCATTGATATGGGGCAATGGACTAAATGTGCCTTTCTCACCTCCAAACTGGAATACTTCTGGATGTGTTTAGTAGTTAAAAACAAGCAAGAAACTGGTAAAACAAAACACTGGGATAAATCCACACATCTAGTCACACAGTGTTAGTGTGACAAACAATTGGCTTCTTTTCTTAAAGAAATTGTATGTGTCTATGGCAATTATTCCACCATCTTTTTCTCAAAACATGTCAACTTCTCTCAGTCTCACCAGAAAGGGCTTGCTTAGGCTTTTCTTCTTTTATTATTACCTCAGGATTTCCCCAAACCTCAGGATTTCTGTGAAGACCATAAACATCCAATATAGTTAGAAAGCCTGTGGGAAAAAAAGAGACATCATCGAGTATCATTTCGTCACCAGTGATATTATGTAATGAGAATTAATTGCTATCCAGTGGCATTTACCAAAACATTCATTCTCACTAACTTGCTGCAAAGACAGGCAGATTTTCAGAGCTGTTGCACTGATAACCAGGATGATCCTGCACAGAGTAAAGGAAGGCAGCTGGAAAGCATATTTCCTGGTCATATAGTATTTGTTTGTTTGCCCAAGGAATTCATTTAGGTGTAGGTGGGGCCTCAAGAGATGGTCCATCTAAGGCCTAGCAGCTCCTGAAAGTGTCCATCTGAACACAGGGGCTGTGTACCTCTGTGTAGGCATGCACACCTGTATGTGCCCTCCACATATTCCGTGTGCACGAATGTGAGTGTGTGCAAGCAAGATTGTGCGGTGGCCGCATCACAGTTGTCAGTAACCCCACAAGGTAGTCCAAGGGTGAATGTGGTCCAGAAAAGGTTAGAAACTCTTGTTGGAAGTTAAGTGACAGGGGAATTGAATAATGAGAACAGTGTAAGAATGAAGATGGAAGAGGAAGGGGCGAGTTCAAAGGAAGTCTGCAGAAGGGAGAGAGGGGAAGCCTACCTTTTGGTAAGGTTCGTCCATCAGCAAAAGTCACAGGAGAATCCACTTCTCGTGCTATAAGAGGTACTGGAGGATAAAGCCGAAGGCTCTCCTTAATGCACATGGTGCTGTATGTCATCTTTCCCAAGTTGTCCCTTAAAGACACAGCCCAAAATTGCCAGATTTAGGGTCTCATAACTTTTTTAAGGGACGCGGGTGGTGCTGTGGTTGCCTTGGCTTGCCGATCAGAAGATCGGCGGTTCGAATCCCCATGGATGGGGTGAGCTCCCACTGCTCAGTCCCAGCTTCTGCTAGTAGTTCGAAAGCACGTCCAAAAGTGCAAGTAGATAAATAGATACCACTCCAATGGGAAGGTATATGGCGTTTCCATGCGCTGCTCTGGCTTCGGAGTTCCGTTGTGCCAGAAGCAACTTAGTCATGCTGGCCGCATGACCTGGAAAAACTGTCTGCAGACAAATGCCGGCTCCCTCGGCCTGTAAAGCGAATTGAGCGCCACAACCCCAGAGTCATCTGAGACTAGACTTAACTGTCAGGGGCTTCCGGAGGCGGCGCCAACAGTAATGGCGATCTCCTCATAACTCTTGAGGAGAGGCTCCGCGGGAACTGGGTCGATCCGCTACGGCGCAGCGGAGACCCTTCCGAAACCCGCAGGCGGAGGAAGCCTGCGGTCGTGGGACTCGGCGGGTGCCTGGAGCGCGCCCCTAAACGGCAAAGGAACCCCGCGAGGGGCTCCGAAGCAGGACGGGGGTAGCGCGGCACTGTGAGTCGTCTGCTACTTTCGCGGAGTGAAGCCGTGCAGCTGTTACTGGAGAGCGCTGACCTTTCTTCCTTGACAATTCGGCTGTCAAAAGTACAACCCGTGAGTAGGTTTCACGCTATAAGGATTAATAAAAATTTTCGAACATATTCGGCTGAAGCGGGAATGGTGTAAAAAGGAAGTCCACCTCCCGGTCTGTACAGAGAATAAAGCAAAGACTGTGTGAGTTCGATACCAATGAATGCCAAAAAGACTGAAACACAGACTTCTAATCTAAAAATTTCCCCCCCATAATTGGACCAGGGGGGGAAGAAGAGATAGTATTTCTTGTTATTTACTGTTATTTCTGAGTAATTTAAAGAGCAAATAAGAAAATAAAAGACCACCTCTCAATCCCTGGGGACAGACTGCCAGGTTTTGGAAAGATTGGACACTTTGTTAGCACTCTAAATGGACAATGTATCTTTTTGCCTTTTAACTTTACAAAATTGAAACATTGGGACAGTTTTACAACTTTGGGAAAAGTTGCCTTTTTGGCTGTTTGAGAGTCTTTATTTTTGATACTTTATTACTTGTGTCCCCCTGGAGGCCAAAAGGGAAAAAGTCTCTATGGACTGAGGAATTTTCCACCTAACAGCAGCCTGGGAAAGTACAATAACAAAATAATTTTGACTGTGAGAGTGACCTTGACTTTTAGATAAAGTGCCATGGAAGGAAGAGATCTGAGGTCTGGGAAAGCCAGGCAGCAGAGCAACATTGCACAACAGCAACAGCGTAGGCAATCCATCGCTGGACCACAAGGGGAGGAAGAAGGATTGGCCAGTTTATTTAAAATTGTGAATGAAGGTTTTGAAAAATTGGGTCAACAAAATGCCGAGGCTCTAGAAGCCATTAGACAAAACTCTGCAAGTATTGACAAGTTGACCCGACAGACTAATGAAAATACAGATGTGAATAAAAACTACTGGAACAATCTGCTGAAACCCAAAAACAGCTTTGGAAGCCAGAGAAAAGGCGGTAGCTGCTGAAGAAAAACTACCACCTTTAATTAAACAAGTTCAAGAGCACCACATAAGATTGGGAACGCACCAGGAATTGTTATCTCTTCTTGAGTTAAAGGAGAAACAGACCAACTTAAGGATCAGAGCAGTACCTGAGATTGAAAAAGAGAGCCTGGCAGACTTTCTGACGCAAGAATTTGCCAACTTTTGGCAATTGAAGGATAAGGAAGATTTCAAGATAACGTCTGCTTTTAGGCTCGGAAGAAGAGCAAGGAAAAATAGAGTGAGAGACTGCCTGATTACCCTGCGATCAAAAGAGGAACGAGATAAAATTTTGAGCCTACATTATCAAAATACACTGACAATACAAGATTCAAGGATAGAAATATTTAAAGACATTCCAAAGCTTCTTTTGGAGCTTAGGTCTAACTATCGAGACCTGGTGACGTTGCTGAGAGGAAACAGAATTTTTTCAGGTGGGAATTCCCTCAAGGCCTATCTTTCAGTTTTAGAGGCAAAAAAATTAAAATTAAATCTGTGGAGGAGAAACAGAACTTTTTGAGAGATTACCAAGAGGACCTGCAAAAAGGATTGGAGCCAGAAGCCCCTTTAACAGGATTGGATCTTACATTACCACCGTTGGGAGAGGATAAGACAGAGAAGCCGAAACCACCAACAGAGGAAGAAGAGTTATTGGGAGCAGTTGGAGGGAAATAAAGAAATCATCATGGCTCTGCAACTTTTAACTTGGAATGTTTGTGGTCTGAATTCTCCGGAAAAAAAGAAGGAAAGTATTTCATATACTTAAAAAAGAACAATTGGACTTAATTTGTTTACAGGAAACCCATGTGACGAGGCTCCATAGGAAAATATTGATTAATAAGAGACTGGGCCAAGAATTTATCTCATCAGACAAAGTTAAAAAACGAGGAGTGGTAATTTACGCAAAGGAGAGCCTCTCACCAAAATTTGTCTTTAAGGATGAACAAGGAAGATTTATAGCAATTGAAATTCAAGTACAAGGAGAAAAATTTTTGATAGTAGGTGTATATGCACCAAATGAGGGGAAATCTATATTCTACAAAAAGTTGCATGAGACCTTGATGGACTATATGGACTATAATACTGTTTTCATGGGAGATATGAATGGGGTGGTTTCTACAAATATGGACAAGTCACAAAGAGAGGTAGTTACTAAAGATGGTAGACTACCGAAAACATTTTTTGAACTAACTGACAATATGGACTTGATTGACATTTGGAGAACTAAGAACCCCCTTGATAGAGAAGGAACCTTTTTTTCTGAAGCCCAGAAGACATGGACAAGAATTGACCAAATCTGGACTACTAGAGGACTGGCACCTAAGGTTAAGAAGGTAGAGATCTGCCCAAAAACATGCTCCGACCATAACGCCGTGAGAATGGAGATGAAGTTAACACCTATTGGTTCCTTCCGATGGAGGATGAATGACACCTTGTTTAGAGATCAAGAGGTGATTAAGAAGGCCCAAAAGACATTGAGGGACTATTTTGAGATAAACTTGAATACAACTGTAGAAAAAGAGTAATCTGGGATGCAAGCAAAGCTGTTATGAGGGGCTTCCTGATTCAACAGAATTCAATTAAGAAGAAGGCCCAAAACGTAAATAAAGAAAAAAATCTTGGAAAAAATAAAGGAGGGCGAGAAGAAATTGAGAGTGAAGCCCAATTCACAAGAGATTCTGAGGGAAATAAAATTGTACCAAGTGCAATATATGAAATTGATAAATCAAGAAGTGGAATGGAAAATTAAGCAAATGAGACAAAAGACTTTTGAATCGGCAAATAAATGTGGGAAACTGCTGGCCTGGCAGTTGAAGAAGCGACAAAAACTTAATACTATTACTAATTTGGAAGTGGAAGGGAAAAATATCCAGAATCCAGAAGAAATTAGGAAATGCTTCCAGAGATATTTTAAACGACTATACACACAAGGGCCTCAGAAAGAATTCGAGATAGAGCAATTTTTGAAAACCAATGGATTACAAAAATTTCTCAGGACAACAAGATATTGTTGAACTATAAAATTACAGAACAGGAGGTTGAAGGTGCCATTCAGAATATGCAGTTGGGAAAATCTCCAGGACCGGATGGTTTAACCTCAAAATATTACAGAACTTTGAAAGACTGGTTAATTCGACCTTTAACTGAGGTTTGTAATGAAATTTTAGAGGGGAAAAGAGCGCCAGAGTCGTGGAAAGACGCATTTATTACACTTATACCAAAGGCCGAGACTGAAAAGACACAGCTTAAGAACTACCGGCCCATATCCCTGTTAAATGTGGATTACAAAATCTTTGCTGACATTTTAGCAAAAAGGCTTAAAAAAGTGCTAAAAGAAGTGATTCACAAGGACCAAGCTGGCTTTCTTCCAGATAGACATCTCTCGGACAACACAAGGAACATAATTGATATTCTGGAGAAGCTGCAAGAGGAGATCAATACTAAAGCAGTTTTGATTTTTGTGGATGCAGAGAAAGCCTTTGACAATATTTCTTGGAGTTTTATGAATAAAATATCTTCAGGGGATGGGGGTAGGCCAAGAGTTTGAAAATGGTATAAATGCAATTTACTCAGAACAAAAAGCTAAATTAATAGTTAATAATGTGATAACAGAGGAAATTAAGATAGAGAAAGGGACACGACAAGGCTGCCCAATTTCCCCATTACTTTTATTTCTGTTCTGGAGGTTTTGTTAAATATGATAAGAAGGGACCATCTGATTAAGGGCATAACGGTCGGAGCGAAACAATATAAATTGAAAGCATTTGCAGATGACCTTGTATTGACACTACAGGAGCCAGAATCTAGTACGAAAAGAGCATTAGAACTGATTCAAGAGTTTGGTCAGGTGGCAGGTTTTAAGTTGAATAAGCTTAAAACTAAAGTACTTGAGAAGAATTTAACACCGATTGAAAAAGAGAGGTTTCAGAATGAGACAGGTTTAACAGTGGTAAAAAAGTGAAATATCTGGGGATTCATATGACAGCTAAAAACGGGAATTTATTTAAAGACAATTATGAAAAATGTTGGTCGGACATTAAAAAAGATTTAGAAATATGGACAAATCTGAAGCTTTCCTTGTTAGGGCGAATTGCTGTCATCAAGATGAATGTATTGCCAAGAATGTTGTTTTTGTTTCAATCGATACAAATAATAGACAAAATGGACTGTTTTAAGAAGTGGCAGAGAGATATTTCTAAGTTTGTCTGGCAGGGCAAGAGGCCTAGGATAAAATTTAAAATATTGACTGATGCTAAAGAAAGAGGGGATTTGCCCTGCCAGACTTTAAACTTTATTATGAATCAGCAGCTTTCTGCTGGTTGAAGGATTGGCTACTTCTGGAAAATACTGATGTATTGGACTTAGAAGGTTTCAATAATGTGTTTGGGTGGCATGCATATCTGTGGTATGACAAGGTTAAAGCTCACAAAATGTTTAAAAACCATATTGTCAGGAAAGCATTGTTCAATGTCTGGATAAGATACAAAGACTTATTGGAGAATAAAACCCCAAGGTGGCTATCACCAATGGAGGCAAAGGCCCTAAAAAAGTCCAATATGGAGGCCAAATGGCCAAAATATTGGGAGATCTTGGAACAAGAAGGAGATAAACTTAAACTGCAGAGTTTTGAAAAATTAAAAGATAGAGTGCGAGACTGGTTGCATTATTACCAAATAAGAGAGGTCTATAATTTGGATAGAAAAATTGGCTTCCAGGTGGAAAAATCAAAGTTGGAAACAGAATTGCTAGATTCCAAAACTAAAACACTTTCAAGAATGTATAACTTGCTGCTAAAATGGAATACTCAGGATGAAACGGTAAAATCTGCTATGATTAAATGGGCACAGGATATTGGACATAATATTATGTTTGCTGACTGGGAACGGTTATGGACCACAGGTATGAAGTTCACAGCATGTAATGCTTTAAAAGAGAATATTATGAAAATGGTGTACAGGTGGTACATGACCCCAGTCAAGCTTGCAAAAATCTACCATTTGCCCGATAATAAATGTTGGAAATGTAAGGAAACTGAAGGTACATTCTTTCACATTTGGTGGACGTGCCCAAAGATTAAGGCCTTCTGGGAAAGGATATATAATGAGTTAAAAACGGTATTTAAGTATACCTTTCTAAAGAAACCAGAAGCCTTTCTCTTGGGCATTGTTGGCCAATTGGTGTTAAAGAAAGACAGAACTTTTTTTATGTATGCAACAGCAGCAGCAAGAATACTCATCGCAAAGTATTGGAAGACACAAGATTTACCCACTCTGGAAGAATGGCAGATGAAGGTAATTGAATATATGGAACTGGCGGAGATGACTGGCAGAATCCGTGACCAGGGAGAAGAGTCGGTGGAAGAAGATTGGAAGAAATTTAAAGTCTATCTACAGAAATACTATAAAATTAATGAATGTTAAATTGAAGTCTGATTGATAATAACTGGTATTGGCAAAAGCTTTGTGATTAAGAGTATGGAATATTTGATGGATAAGGTTGTAAAAATATTTATATATAAATAGATTAAGTTTTTTGAGTTAAGATAATGAAAGGAGGGTAAGGATTTGCTGAAAGGAGTTTTTAAATGGAAGTGCAAGCGGGGAGATGCGGGGAAGTCAAAGAACTAGGTAAAGATAAGAAGGCTAAATGAAAGTACAAATATCTTTTAAATTTTTCTGCTTCTTTTTCTTTGTTTTCTTTTTCTTTGTCATGGTTATTGTTATTTTTTGTTTGTTGAATTTTTGTAATTCTGTATTTTTTGGAATTTTTTTTGTAAAACCAATAAATATCTTATAAAAAAAAAAAATAGACTTAACTGTCAGGGGTCCTTTACCTTTACCTTTTACCTTTTTAACCATTTATTAAGATGTAGCAAATAGGGTTTGAGAGCATAGGATTAGGCCAATTTCCCTGGAACCTAACGAACCTGAGACTTGTAGTCAGAGTACTCTGACCCTAAAACACTCTGCAGTGTTGCTGTCCCTTCATCTTCTCTTAATTTCTGAGAAACCCATAAAGCAGAAATAAACATTTAAGGTTGAACAATAATTTAAGTCTGACCATTGAATATCCTCCTGTTGCCCAACAAGCTCCATGATCTCCTCTCTGCATCTCTGCTGATGTTCAGGGTTCTGGGCCCATACAATAAAAGAGCCAAGAGATTCCACTAGCTGTGGTATCATGACCTTCGAACATGAATGTGTCCACTTCTGCACGTATGTCTTCATCTGACAATGGATTTCCATTTTCATCCTAACCACACAGGGAAAATAGTGTTTTATAGGATTGGTGAGATCCAATATTTAAAGTTCTCCAAGGCCCTCCTCCCTCTCCCAGCTCACATCAAACCTTTCAAAGAAGGTTAGTGATGGCTGGAAAAGCCCTTAGCAATATAGCATGGCAGGCATAGGTGCATTATTTCTACAATGTCCACCTTTGCGCAAAGAAGAATATCCAGGAAGTCCAAATGCCTCTTCTTCAGAATCTTTTCAAGCTCTTTCCTCATTCTTGAGGAATCCTTCCTCTCTCTTATTACCTTCTCTGCATTGAAAACATACAGTATGAAATGAATAAAGCTATCCATAAGAGGCAAGCAAATATATTTAGATTGTGTTATGCTTAGAGGTAACAAATACTTTTATTAGCTGAGCTCTGAAAGAGAAGCTTAGAATGATCAGTAGCTTAAAGAGCTAAAAGTTTTCAGTCAAATTTCAGTCCACAGTTGGGAGCATTAAGGCTTCCAAATGCTGGTTTCTGGGAACCACAGGAGGGGGAAGTTCTTTTGTGTTTAGGTTCTGCTTCCTAGGTTCCCACCGCATCTAGTTGACCACTGTGAGAAAGGATGCTGCACTAGAATGGGCTATTGGCCTGATCCAGCAGGCTATTCCTATGTTCTTAGAGAGAGTTATCATGTTGGGATTAAAGCTTCACATAGGAGAAAGCTAAAAAGGAGAAGAGGTCCCAGGATATAGGGAAGATGAGAATCCAGATGCAAAGTCTGCCCTTTCACACACCCACACCCACACCCACACACCCAGGTTTCCTCAGGGTCTTTTGGACATTTAACAATTCAGTAAAGGTTACATGATCTCCAGAAATCCAGGGAGAAATCCTGAACAGGAATGATGTGGGAAAAGGACAATGAAATATTTCTCTGGGGACAGAGAGAAATTGTTGAATTTCATAGAAAATTCTCAGAAGTATAAGAAAGATATATTCATTATGTTAGACAAATGATCAGATTTTAGGGTTCCAGAAAGAGAATTCATGTTATTAGGAAGTATGAGAAGAATTGATAGGGAGGTAAATATAATGCCAAGGTGCTGGTTGATTTCCTTTATAAAATTTTACTTCTTATAAATAGAAAGTCCTTTCTCCTTATATAAATGATTGAGCACATAACTAGAGAAGAAGTTAAGTTGGAAAGGAGGAGGCAGTTATGTGTTTTCTTAGTTTTGCTTCAACCTTTTTCATTTCTAGTCTCTCTATTATAATAAGACCATTGTTAAATTAATTTTTTAAAAAATTGTCTTGCTTTTCAAGTGCATCATACCAACACTTACAATTTTTAATTTTCCTAATGGTACTGAAACAATATCTTCTTTTATTTTGAATTTTTTTATTAGGAAATAAAATTATATATTAGCTCAGAAGAAGAAGAGGAGGAGGGGGAGTAGGAAGAAAAAGTTGTTGCCAGGAAGTAAAAAATACATACCTGTGTGATGGTGGGCTATTTTGCAAGCTTTGTAAAACTGACGCCCTTTGGAGCTCAACCAGTAAATGAGATCATTGTGATGCAATGGTGTTTTCAGTCTCTGATAAACCAGGAACCCAAGATCAAAAACAGTTTGAATATAGGAATTTTCTCTGTGGACAGTGAGAAATGGAAACCAATATAAAAACAAAAAACAAAGATTAGATGACTTTGCAAGAGCCAACAAGCTGATGATCAATCCAGATAAGTCTGAGGTACTGTTGGTGCGTGGTTCCCTAGACTAGATGGATTGTGATGAAGTGGGTATGTAGTTTGGGGGTATTTCTGGCAGCCTTGGTGGCCTGTAGTGCCCTCAATCAGCTTTGGCTGGCAGCCCAGCTGCACTCCGATCTGGACAGCGATAGCCTTATTTCCATTGTCTATACTCTGGCTACCTCTATGTTCAATTATTGCAACACCTTATGTATAGGACTACCTCTTGTGGGAATGTTCTGGGGTGCAGGAGAGGATATATTGACTAATTATATCCTTATCCAACTTGTGCTAACAAGTTCCCAAAATATCAGCAGAGTTTATAAACATTCCCCTTTAAGTTCGCAACGGTAACGTGTGCACAGGTTCGCTAGAACCTCTATAATAATTACCCTGGTAATTTCCCCTTTGTTCCCTCTTAAAATACAAGACACGACACAGTCTTTATAAAAGTTTAAAAGAGTTTACTCACGTTCTGTTCACAATATGATCCCAGAAGGCAGACAGGCTTAAAAGGTTATATACATTCAGAATCTATCTTATAGCAAGATAGTCCTTTCCTCCTCTCTTGGCTGAGAGCCAAGAGAGCATCTTTAGATGCTTCCTCATCGAAGGAAAATGGCAGAGAGAGAGAGTGGCTGCCTGCCCTGTGCTTTTGTCATTACCTGCACAGGTGAGGCCACACCCACCTCTGGTCACATGCGGAGGAAGTCCGTCCCCAGGAAGTTTACCTGCTTGCTGGACAGACATCCCTCCCCATGTTCTAACATGTACACTCTAGGAATGTTGTCATTGACTGCTCCTGTGTTTACATCCCACATACCCCTTCTCAGGCAATACAACATATACAAAACATAAACAACTTTATTCAACCACCCAGAGTCCCAGCTTGACACGTAGATTCTTGGTAGGGGTTTCGTCAGGATGTCAGCAGTCATCTCTTGGGTGCTGCAGTAGGATAGCTCCACAAGTCCATCCTGGATCATCTGGCGTATGTAGTGGTATTTAACCCCAATGTGTTTTGTTCTGGCCAGGAACTTCTCACTCTGCGTCAGCTTCAGGCAACTTTGATTGTCCTCTAGCAAGCTGACAGGCCCTTTTCTCACCAACCCAAAGTCCTTTATGAGTTGATCAAGCCAGGCGATCTCTCTGCAGGCTTCTGTTGCTGCAACGTATTCTGATTCTGTGGAAGATAATGCTACACAGCTCTGTTTATAACTGCCCCATGCAACAGGTCCATCCCCAAACATGAAAACATGACCACTTGTTGATTTATAATCAGCATTATCCCCAGCCCAATCCGCATCAGTATACCCAACCAACTTAGGGTCTCTGACGGCTGGTAACCTTAATTTACAATTCATGGTACCCTTCAAATATCGCACCACCCTCTTTACACCTGCCCAATCATGCTCAGTGGGAGAATTCACTTTTCTGCTAAGAATCCCCACAGCATTAGCTAAGTCAGGTCTACATGTGGTAACTAAATACAAAAGTTTACCAATCGCCGACCTGTAGTCATTGTTGTCTGGCAACTGCTTCGAATCCTGCTGATTCTTCAGGAAGTCAGTAGCCATCGGTGTAGCAACTGGATGTGCGTCTTGCATCTGCATGTGCTCAACTAGCTCGTGGATCTTCTGTCTTTGGCTGAGAAGAAATGAGCCGTCCTCTTCTCTTTCCACCTGGATCCCGAGGTAGTACTGGACATCTCCTAGCTCCTTGACCTCCACCTCTTTGCTAAGGTGTTTTACTATCTGTGTATAGTCTCTCTCACTTGCTGTGGCAATAATCAGGTCATCAACAAAAGCTAAGATATATGAGAATTGTCCATTATTTGACTTACTGTACAAGCATTTGTCAGCGTCGCCTTGCTTGTACCCAAGTTGCGTCAGCATTTTATGCAACTTCTGGTTCCAGGCTCTGGCAGCCTGTTTAAGTCCATAAAGTCCTTTCTGGAGTTTGCACACTAAATGTGCTTCATGTGGTTTTACAAAACCTTTAGGCTGTTTCATATAAATTTCCTCAGAAATCTGCCCATGTAGAAAAGCGGTAGCAATGTCAATGTGTTTTACTCTCATTTTCTTGGAGGCTGCAATGCTTAAAAGCATTCTTACGCTGCTGTACCTCACAGTTGGTGCAAAAACTTCATCATAGTCTTCACCAAAACGCTGTGAAAATCCCTGTGCTACAAGTCTAGCTTTGTAGCGCTGCACTTCTCCTTCTGACCCCTTCTTAACCTTGAAAACCCATTTACTGCCAATGGCCTTCTTACCGGGAGGCAGCTCAGTGAGTGTCCAGGTCTTGTTCTGATGCAGTGCATCCATCTCCTCCTGCGCGGCCTTCCTCCAGAGACTGGCTTCTGCAGCTGGCATCTCCTGTATCTCTTCCCAAGTGGAAGGTTCCTGTGGAAACGCCGACCCTGCAAAGTAGGACAGCCGTAATGGTGGGACACCTTTGTTGGTTCTGGATGAGCGCCTGACCTCTGGTTCTGCGACCGCATCAGCTTCCTCATCCTCCTCCAACGCAGGCATGTCCCCATCTGAGTCCTCATCTTCGTCTCTGGTGCCGCCAGGGTTCTGGTCCTCTGCGTCTTCTGGTGCATCGCCTGTAACACTCGAAGGCAGATAATTACTTTGTGGGGTCTCAAAAGGGAAATATACAAACTCTTGAGTCCTTTCTGACTCATCTGAAGAATCCACAACAGTGTTCTTAGTGTCTACTTTTCCATATTCATCAACATAAACCGCATGGTATGCATTTGTCTTACCAGTTTGTAAGTCCATAATTCTGTATCCTTTGCCTCCAGAAGCATATCCCACAAGGATACCTGCTTTTGCCCTGGAGTCAAGCTTGTGTCTGTGTTCCTTGGGCACGTGGAAGTAACACGGACTTCCAAACACACGTATGTGCGACAGATTGGGAGCTTTCCCATGCCAAAGTTCAAATGGTGTGCGCTCTGCTCCTTTAGTTGGCAGTCTATTCTGCAAATAGACCGACGTGTATACTCCTTCGGCCCACAGCTTCTGTGGCAAACATGCATCCTTTAGCATGCACCTTGTCATGTCCATAATGGACCTAAACTTTCTTTCAGCTATGGCATTCTGCTGTGGTGTGTAAGGAATTGTGGTTACGTGTGCAATTCCTTCCTTGGCCAGGAGAGCCTGCATTTCATTTGAGCAGTACTCACCTCCATTGTCGCTCATTAACACAGCTGGAGCTCTCTGGAATTTATTCTTGACCATGGCAATGTATTCCTGGAGCTTCTCCACTGTCTCACTCTTCTCTTTGAGGAAATATACAACACAAAATCTTGAAAAGTCATCCAGAAATATTAAAATGTATCTATTCTTTCCCAGTGAGGGAACATTCATGGGTCCACATATGTCAGTGTGCACTATGTCAAGCACTTTGTTGCTTCTTTGTTCTGCACAACGTGGAAATGAAGGTTTTACAGCCTTCTCAGTAATACAGCTTATGCACTTTGCTGGAGCTTTGTTGCTCTGCTTTACCTGCAAACCTCTTACAAGATCTCTTTTCTGTAGATCCAGAATGACGTTGGTGTCCCTGTGTCCAAGCCTTCTGTGCCACAGGTCCAGATCTGCCTCATCCTTCTGGCTGGAATGTGCCACTTTTGCAGACTGGTTCTCTGAAAGATCAAGCTCATATACACCATTTATTAGCTTTGCTTGAGCAAACACTTTGCCATTTCTAGTCACTTTACATTCTCCATTTCCAAATGTGATCTGGAAACCTTTCTTGTCCAAAGTGGACACGCTGATTAAATTGCAGCTCAGCTCTGGAACATACAAAACTCTAGAGATTGTGTTCTCAATGCATTCATTGTTTATATTGCATTTCAGACTCATGGAACCTGCACCTTTTGCTTTAACAATGTTGCCATCTGCAATCTCAATTTCAGATCCTTCTTCATCATTTATTTCATTAAAATAGTCCCTTTTATGACAAAAATGGGAGGATGCACCTGAATCCAAAATCCATTTATTACGTTTATTTACACGATTCTGGACAGTTAAATTCCTTTCTTGCAGTAGCCATGTGCATTCACATTTCCCCTTCTTTTCCCCTTTTGGTTGAAAGGGGTGGGGTTTCTTTGCTTTAGGAGCCCTGCAATTCTTTTGCAATGTGTCCTTCTTTGTTACAATTGAAACAAATCACTTTCTTAGGCATCTCTTTGGACTTTGTAAATTGCCTAGATGCATAACCACTGTCCTTGATTCTAGCATTTCTCACTGGAGATTCAGCTCTATCTCTGCATTCTTCTTTTAAATAACCAATCAAGTCTTTAAAAGTCAGACCTTGTCTATGAGCCATCAAACTTACAAATGCGCCAAAGCGTGGTCCAAGTGATGATAACAAAATGCTATCTTTGTATCTTCATCAAAAGCTTTGGGAGTCAGATCAATTCTTTGAATAATCTCAGTAAACTTGTTGATGTGCTCTGTGAATTCCTCTTTTGAATTCATCCTCAATCTGGTTAATTTACACACCAAGTTTCTGAAGGAGTTTATGCTAGATTCTCCATACACACGCTCAATATCTCTTAAGATTTGAGATGCATCATCTGTACTATTTATTAATGATAGCTGTTCATCACGAAGTCCACTCAAAATTATGTGTCTAGCTTCACTGTTCATGCATTTCCAAGCACTTATCTTGGCTAAATCTCCCTCAGTTGTCCCTGTAGGCTGAGGCTTTAAAGCTTCCAAAATGTGCTTATAATCTAAACATGCTATCAAGCGCTGCTTCCAGTGTATGAAATTGTATTCATTCAGCACAGGCATTCCTAGCTTTGCATCACTATCAAAAGCTGCTCTAGCCATCTTAAAATCCAAAATTCAAAAACCAAAATTTGAAAATTTTTCAAAATTTCAAAATTTCTCAAAATTTTAAAATCAAAATCTCAAAAATCTCAAAATACAAAACAATTCTTCACTGCCTTGGGTCACTGTGAACTCTGAGGGAAGGGGGGGGGTTGCTTAATCCCCACTGCACAATGGAACAAAGGACCATGTGCTTACCAGGAAGTTAACTCAGAAAAATACTACTCAACTCAAAATCACAATCCAATGCAATCCTTCAAAAATACGCAGAAATATGCAATACTGGGCCCATAACCCTTTGTGGGAATGTTCTGGGGTGCAGGAGAGGATATATTGACTAATTATATCCTTATCCAACTTGTGCTAACAAGTTCCCAAAATATCAGCAGAGTTTATAAACATTCCCTTTAAGTTCGCAACGGTAACGTGTGCACAGGTTCGCTAGAACCTCTATAATAATTACCCTGGTAATTTCCCTTTGTTCCCTCTTAAAATACAAGACACAACACAGTCTTTATGAAAGTATAAAAGAGTTTACTCACGTTCTGTTCACAATATGATCCCAGAAGGCAGACAGGCTTAAAAAGGTTATATACATTCAGAATCTATCTTATAGCAAGATAGTCCTTTCCTCCTCTCTTGGCTGAGAGCCAAGAGAGCATCTTTAGATGCTTCCTCATCGAAGGAAAATGGCAGAGAGAGAGAGATGGCTGCCTGCCCTGTGCTTTTGTCATTACCTGCACAGGTGAGGCCACACCCACCTCTGGTCACATGCAGAGGAAGTCCGTCCCCAGGAAGTTTAC